CTGGCTCTCAACGAAAACGCCGAAGGCGGTGCTGTATGTCCCTTGCTGGTGGGTGTATTCTCAAGATGGCGAAACGTAATGGAACCCCACAGACGACTTACCCGCACAATGTACAAACAAATCCGAAATTCTCCTTTTACGAGAATAAGTCAGATTATTGGTGGAGGTAATAGTACACCAGTGATGACATATTTATGAATGCAGACATCAATTTTTGCCAATAAACAACTAAAAATGTTACACAATGTCCCTTTAAGAATCATTGTGCTTCTGTTACCTTATGATGAGCAGTTATATCTACATAGGGAGCGGGTCCTTGTCCATCGGGTTATTGAGTGTTGAGAGTTGTTGTACAGTAGCCCAGAGCATGTAAAACAAACACTGGCTCTACACAGGGCCACACACTTGGCCCATGGGAGAGGTTTTAGTTGGTTGCAATCTGCAACCTCTGCCACTAGATGCCATAATTGGAACACTAGTTGGAACACGCATTTGGTCCTGACGGGGACTTGAACCGGCGACCATCCCGGTTCCCAACCCAAGTCCCTATGGACTGAGCTATTGATGAGTAATTAATTAGTTGATTGGCAGAAAATTAACTGGCAACTGTTTGGATTATGACTAAATCATCTAAGCCTTTTTATAAGCAAAAATTCCCCCAAAATTCCTGGTGCAGCTTTTCTTATTGCTGCAGTTTTCTCTGCTTTTTATCACTGTAAACTCAATATCTTTGGGTTTTGATGGGACAAAACAAAACATTTGAAGATGTTGACAAGGACTCTAGGAAAAAATTAATGGCCATTTTCACTAGTTTTGATATTTTATAGATCAAATTACTGAACAAGGAAGAAAAAGCAATAAAATTATCAACCAAAAAAAATTATTGCCCCAGTATATAGCCCAATTTAACAATGGAAGGGACAAATCTGCTGCTTATTTTCAGTTGTGCAATGTAACTAACTATTTACTCAGGTACAGTACTTACAGTCAGGTCCATAATTATTTGGACAATGATACAGTTGTCATCATTTTGGCTCTGTACACCACCACAATGGGTTTTAAATGAAACAATGAATATGTGCTTAAAGTGCAGACTCTCAGCTTTCATTTAAGGCTTTTTCCAAAAATGTAGTATGAACCGTGTAGGAATGACAACCATTTCTTCACACAGTCCCCCGACTTTAAGGGCTCATAAGTATTTGGACAAACTAACATAATCATCAATTAAACAGTCAGTTTTAATATTTGGTTGCAAATCCTTTACAGTCAATGACTGCCTGAAGTGTTGGACACATAGGCATCATCAGATGCTGGGTTTCTTCCCTGGTGATGCTCTGCCAGCCCTTTGCTGTAGCTGTCTGCACTTCCTGCTTGTGTTTTGGGTGTTTTGCCCTCAGTTTTGGCTTCAGCAAGAGAAACGCACGCTCAATTGGATTCAGGTCAGATGATATGACTTGGCCATTGCAGAACATTCCACTTCTTTGCCTTAAAAATGTCTTTGGTTGCTTTTGCAGTATGCTTCAGGTCAATGTCCATCTGCACTGTGAAGAATCGTCCAATGAGTTTTGAAGCATTTGGTTGAATCTGAGCAGATAATGGTGCCCCAAACACTTCAGCTTTCATCCTGCTGCTCTTGTAAGCAGTCACATCATCAATAAATACAAGAGAACCAGTTCCACTGGCAGCCATACATGGCCATGACATAACAGTACCTCCACCATGCTTCACTGATGAGGTGGTGTGCTTTGGATCATGAGCAGTTCCTTCCCTTCTTCCTTCTCTTGTCTTCCCATCATTCTGGTAGTTGATCTTTGTTTTATCTGTCCATAGTATGCTGTTCCACAACTGTACAGGCTTTTTAGATGGTTTTTGACAAACTCTAATCTGGCCTTCCATTTTTAAGGCTAACCAATGGTTTGCATCTTGTGATAAACCCTCTGTATTTATTCTAGTGAAGTCTTGTCTTGCTTACAAGAGCAGCAGGATGAAAGCTGAAGTGTTTGGGGCTACATTATCTGTTCAGATTCAACTAAATGCTTCAAAACTCATTGGACGATGCTTCACAGTGCAGATGGACATTGACCTGTAGCATACTGCAAAAGCAACCAAAGACATTTTTAAGGCAAAGAAGTGGAATGTTCTGCAATGGCCAAGTCATATCATCTGACCTGAATCCAATTGAGCATGCATTTCTCTTGCTGAAGCCAAAACTGAGGGCAAAACACCCAAAACACAAGCAGGAAGTGCAGACGGCTGCAGTAAAGGGCTGGCAGAGCATCACCAGGGAAGAAACCCAGCATCTGATGATGCCTATGTGTCCAACACTTCAGGCAGTCATTGACTGTAAAGGATTTGCAACCATGTATTAAAACTGACTGTTTAATTGATGATTATGTTAGTTTGTCCAAATACTTATGAGCCCTTAAAGTTGGGGGACTGTGTGAAGAAATGTTTGTCATTCCTACACGGTTCATACTACATTTTTGAAAAAAGCCTTAAATGAAAGCTGAGAGTCTGCACTTTAAGCACGTATTCATTGTTTCATTTAAAACCCATTGTGGTGGTGTACAGAGCCAAAATGATGACAACTGTATCATTGTCCAAATAATTATGGACCTGACTGTACATACATTTCAGAGAACTCGTACTTCACTTGGGAATGTCCATTTAATATTGCTTTATGCTTCTACTCCACTACATTTTCAGAGGGAAATGTTGCACTTTTTATTATACAGCTTCAGGGCCGTTCCTGACCAATTTGGTACCCTAGGCAAGATATCTGCTGGCGCCGGTTAGGGACCGTGGCGAAATTGATGCTGCCTGCCAGAGAGGCAGAAATATTATTTCATTATTATTTAAAGACATATGGCTATATGTACTGTTGTTTTGTAGTGTATTCTTGTCTAATTTTTCGAATAGAATGGGGAAGAAAAAAAAGAAAAAGAACACCTCACTCCCTGGCGCCCTCTGGCATGCTGGCCCCTATAGCATTTTCCTTATCTGCCCTATGGGTGGCACGGCCCTGTACAGCTTTAGTTATTTTGTACATGCAGATTGTTAATACAAAATATAAATTCACTGATAAATTATGATATATTATTATGGGTTAAGCTACCCAGTAGATATATGAACTAGATGGAATTAATGCATCAATACTATAACCCAGTAACATAAAATACATTATTCTGAAATCAACCATCTTGCATAATGAGTATTTCTACTTTGGGTAGCTATTTTAAGTTGGCTACATTCTTTTACTTATTTTTACTACTACTACTACTACTACTAATAATAATAATAATAATAATAATAATAAGAAGAAGAATATTAATAATAACCTTTATTTGTATACCACAGAACTTTTGGTTGTAAGCAGTGGCGGATGAAGTGCCTGAAAGCCACACTTGAGTCAAAGTACAGATGTCTCATCAGAAAATGACTTTGGTAGAAGTTAAAGTTAACTATTAGAATATTACTTATGTAAAAGTCTGAAAGTATCGCTTATTTACTGTACTTAAGTATCAAAAGTGATTTTATGATATCAAATGTACATAAATATTGAAAGTAAAAGTAATTGCTGGTAATAACGAAGCAAGCAGTAAGAATTTTGAGATTTATGAGGTTTATTTCTGCATAACATGTACACATGGAGTGTCAGAAAGTTGGTCTTTTTTCACAACTTAAAGGAATGAAATAACAAAATCTAGTATTTCTTTCCCTCCCACTCCTTCATTCCCTTCCTCCCTTCCTTTCCTACTTTGTAGTAAGTAACGAAGATGCTTTGAGTAAATGTAGGGGACTAAAAGTACACATTTATTCACAAAATGTAGTGGAGTAAATGTGAAAGTTTGCAGAAATATAAAAACTCAAATAAAGTACAGGTACTCCCCCTCTCAAATAACTTAAGTAGGCCTACTGTGATGAAGTTTAATTAATTCGTTACATTCAACCACTGCTTGTAAAAGAGTGTTGGTATTGCTCTGTTTACTTCGGCTAAGTAAAAGATCCGAGTACTTCTTTCACCAGTGCTTACTTTCAGTACTTTAAGTATATTTCGCTTTGGTATGAAGACTTTTACTCCGGAAAATGATGCGACTACTTCTTCCCCTAAAGTATCGCTGATACATAACAGTTTATATTCAAACATTGTAACGGCGGTGGGAGAGGGTGCTCCGACTCTTTTTGGGCCCGTAGAAGGTGGCTCTTGCCTCCCGTGGAGCTCTGCAGATGCCCCATCTCTGAGAACCGCTGACCTGTCGGGTTGCCATGTTTGACTGCCTCAGACCTGGCATCCCTTTCTGCCAGGCTGCCACCGGAACACATAAACGCCCCCCCTCCCTTCTTCCTCTACGGATGCTGCAGTAAAGTTGGCCGCGCGTGCGCAATTTCGGTCCTCTTTTTCTTGGAAGGTAAGTGTGGCATGGCGCGTGTTTCTGCCTTGGGGGGGATAAACGGGACACTTAACGGTTTTTTAAGTGAACGGATGACGGATTCAGAGGTACGAAAGTGTCCGTGTAGCGGTCTGAGCACCTGTGGAAGTAGTTATTTAATTTCTCGGTGGATGTAGTCGATGGCAGGGCAGGGTGTGGGAGTCCATGTTCCAGCTAACGTTAACAGATTCAATCAAAGGGACATGCGGCCTTCGGCGGCGCGGTCGGTGGAAGTCGCTTGTCATTCTCTGCGCTATTTTCTGCTTAATTTTTCATAAGAATCTGCGGTGTATTTGTCATCCGACGTTTTAAATGTCGACCATAAAAACACAAGGCCCGCATACCAGCCGCTGTCGACCGAGCGTCAATCCCTGCTTTTATTTGGACGGAGCTGAATGGAATGGCTAGCGTTAGCGTGTTAGCATCCCATTAGCTAATAGACGGATAACGGTACTCGCTGTTTATGAAGCGGCAGCGCACATTGGCTGGGTAATAAACATCACGACAGCAGACGGTTATCTCAACAAGGCGTGTTAATTTTGACACGGACCGTTTAAACCGAAATATCTCAGATAATGTCAGCTAATGTTGGCGTGTGTGACGTTATTGTCAGTTGGCTTTGTACCGTTATCTGGCGCTGTTGTACTTGTAAACTCAAGGCCGGCTAACTTGCCTCCGCTAGCTTATGTGTTTATGTCAGATTACTAAAATTACTCCCTGTAGTCCCTCTAAAGAGTTAATGTTTATATTTATAAAGCATTGTCGGCTGTTGTGTGAGCTAGTCGGCTAATGTTAGTTTTGATGAGTTGTGAAGTTCACTTAATGTCTGCTAACATGATGAAAACTAGTGGTAGACCTGAAAGTGGCGCAGCCGCCCAGCCTCGTGTTGAGCCGGGCAGCTTGTCCGAGCTTCCACGTTTCGATGCCGCTGTATGTGTGTAGTTTAACTACAATAACCGGAGCGGACTAAATGTAATCTGTGGAAAAGATCATGAGGATGCCACTTTTTCCCGAGATCTCGCGATATCGATTTACAGGGTGAACGCACAGTGGGGCCCTGCAGTGGTCCCGAGCAAAGCCAGGGACGGAGCCGTTAAACTGGTGTTTGACCCGCTAGAATTTGGTCAGATGTAGACAGTGAGAAGATATTTAAATTATGTTATCACGAAATAACATTTATACTCATCAAAATTTACAGAATTCCTCAAATTGGGGTTTTCTCACAGTTTCTTGTGGTGTTTTAGGTGCTTTTCCCTGAAGGATTCAAATGCAGAATTTTATAATCAGTTTTATTGCCAAATAGGTTTGTACATACATTAATTTATTTTGGTTCATAAAGATAAACACAGTGCAAAAGTCAAGAGATGTTATAAAAATAGAACAATTTATGCCATAAAATATAAAGCTATAAAACAAGTGTGTAAAAAAAAAAAAAAGAAAAACAAATTAAAGTTTGCAAGGTAGTAGTTGTGTGGGAAAAGGTGAAATAATGGCCAGAGAGTGTAGAAGTTGACAGCAATAAGTACAAGGTACAAAGAATATGCGCTTCTCATGTATTTCAGGTAGGATTAGATGACTGCCAAACTTGTAACACTGTGCTTCAATGCACGTTCATTTGCTTATGTCAGCTGTTCATGTAGACACCTTAAAACTATTGATCTTAAAACTAAAATGTAATGTGATCAAGATTGTTAATTTTTCTTGTCACCAATTTGCATGAAAAACAAAACTGTTAGCCTGTCACTCCTACCCTGTCTGTTGCTTCTCGCTCCACTTCCATTGGTTTTTCACAAATCAGCAAACTACTAAAACAGCGGAGTATGACATGCTTTAGTGGAGTCTTTAGTGGACATATGGCCTTAAAGTGTCAGACAAGAGCATATCAGCCAGCCAAAGAGGAAGTGTCTGCCCTACTGACACTACCTTAATGTAAAGCATAATGTAAACATTACTGCCCCATTACGGCTGCAACTAATAATTATTTTTATCATTGATTAATATTTCTTCTTTTTCTTTTTGTTGATAAAATGTCAAACTAGAGAAACATGCCCTCTTCAAATGGTATCTTATCTGACCAATAGTCCAAAGCTGTTCATAGTTGTATGTATGACAATTAAAAGGATCAAATTCTCACATTTAAGAAGCATGAAACCAGCAAATGTTTGACCTTTAGCTTAAAAAATGATTAACACAACTATTTGATAATCAAAATAGTCGCCAATTGTCTACATCAGGGTTGGTCAGTACCACAATCAATCATTTCATTGATAAATTTGTATTTGTTAAGCATTTATCTTGTCATCACTGCAACTAATTGTATATTTTCCGAGTTTAATAGTGAAGTCATTAATGTGTAAATATCTTTTGCAGCACCCCTGACCCATCGCACCATGGCAGATCCCGATCTTGACTTCACGACTGGCGAGTCTGGCGCCTCCGCCACTTACCCTATGCAGTGCTCTGCTCTGCGTAAGAACGGGTATGTGGTGCTGAAGGGACGTCCCTGCAAAATTGTGGAGATGTCCACCTCCAAGACCGGCAAGCATGGACATGCCAAGGTAAACTCATCTTCAGAGCTTGGTTATGTGGCCCCTTAAAAATAACAGCAGCTGTAAAGTGACATTGCAAAGTTTAAAGAGTAAGACATTAAAGAGTTTAGACATTAAAAAAAAAAACTGCAGTGTCAAGATGAGCTTGGCAGAGACCCGAGGCTCAGTTTGGACCTTGAGAATCTCGGGTTTCAGACCAGCCTGATCCAAGCTGCTTCAAGTGTTTTTCGTATGCACCGCCTTTCTTATCTTTTTCTTTAAACAACAGGGTGCTCCCAGGTGTACTTTGCCCTCCTGGGACTTGGTCACAATAAATAGTAAAAACTGAGATTCAGTGTTGCCTTATTTGTGTGTGATTTTAAACCTTAGGAGATGTGCAGTACATTGGAAACACTAAATACCTGCTTCCTCAACTGGGAGGGAAAACAATATCATTGAGTACACCATGCATCATGATCTCTCCAGGGACTTCAAATGGAGAATAGCCTTGTAGCTAATTCTGATGCATTTACAGCAACTTTTATTAATCTGCACTGTCCCTGTTATACAGTAAATGATTATGACCAGTCTAAATTGGGTCATTAAATAAAGGATGTCTTCAGGTCCTTAAAGTCTTAATGTATTAAATTCAGTTTTTTAAATGTTAGACCTCAGAAGTCATTGCATAGTCTTTTTTTTTTTTTAAAAATGCGAGGGCTTAATTGACACTTATCTGATTTCTTTTATCAGTTTTTTAAATTTCTTTTTGTCAGATAACTTGCTCTTCTGCATGTGTTTGAATCCTCAGTCCAAATTTGTAATGTTAAGTCTTCAAACCTACCACTGAAACTAATAGTCTTTTTACTCACCTGTTGGCAATATGTAGATTGACCTAACTCACTTTGATGACCATATTCTTACATAAAACCTACCTCTGCATGGGACCACATATACTAATGTTTACATTTTTCTGCAACACTTGAATAAGGACAAGATGATTTGTCCAAAATTCAGTCTTAAAGTTGGTTAAAAAAAAAGAATTAAAAAGTATTAAAACAAGTGTCTTATGGGGCGTCGGTGGCTTAGTGGTAGAGCAGGCGCCCCACATACAAGGCTGTTGCTGCAGCGGTCCGGGTTCGAGTCCAGCCTGTGGCCCTTTGCTGCATGTCATCCCCTCTCTCTCTCCCCCTTTCACACTTAACTGTCCTGTCCATTAAAGGCAAAAAATGCCCCCAAAAATATCTTTAAAAAAACAAGTGTCTTATACCTGCAGATACCATGTTTTATAAGTTAATTTTGACACAAAACAAAAATCCCTCTCTCCATAATTTTAAATGATTAATGTCTTACTGAAATCCAGCTTCAACTGGATATCCATCTTTTTTGTGGTGGTTTTGCATCATATTGTTGTTCTGTATTTTCTTTTGATTTGTTGTGTTCTGCTGTCATATATTAATGTTTTGTCTTGTTACCTGCACACATTAACTCCTGACAGGTTTCTTAAATACTTGACATGACTGTGTAATGAACGTAATGATCCTTTGTAGGTTAACCTGGTTGGTATCGACATCTTCACCAACAAGAAGCATGAAGATATGTGCCCCTCCACCCACAACATGGATGTTCCCTCCATTAAGAGGATAGACTACCAGGTACGCAGTCAGTCCAAACATCTCTGGAACTTTCTCATCACACAAGTGTCACACTGCAGTTAACAAAAGAATGCATAACTCCAATTAGAAAGGACATGTGACCCTGTGTTCTGTACCAGCTTTTCTTGAGCAAGTTCAGAAGCTGCAGGCTGGAAATGTGCCATTTAATCTGATCACGGGTACATTTCTTGTCAATGTTACGAATGTTTAACAATATTTAGTAAAGGCAAAAAAAATCTCAAATACTTTTAATATTGGCTTGAAGTACAGTAATTCTACTTGTAATCAAGTGTTTACTCACCAATGTTTATCATCTTTCAATATGAAGAAGAAATATGGTATGTCAGCAGCATTTCTGACTGAAGTTGAGCTAAGCATAATTATATTGGGATATTTGAAATATACCAGGTTGAATCTTTTTTTTTTCCATTGACATTTTTGCAAAGAACAGTGTCATTCATGCTCTAGCATTAGGACTAAACTGATTTGAGGTTGAATGCTGGAGGACACCTGACTGAGCAGCAACCTCTGAGACTGAAAAATGAAGTCACTGCAGAAGTGGCAAAAAACGCAGTTCCTCTATTGGCCACTTGAGGCTGGCTCCAAGAGCAAGTCAATCTTCATAGACCCACATGTTAAATGCCCAACTTAACAGCAAATATAAACATGTTTACAGCGTGATACAAAAAACAATTATGGTCTCTATAGCAGATTTCAACATGACAACTGTACAGGGGGTGAATTTTTATATAACTCACCCAATTTACATTATATCAAGGCTTAAACTTGTGCATAATTAAGGGCATGGCCATTTTGAGTGACAGGAGGGTGCCTTCTGTTGACAAGTAGCAACCATGGTGACAATGTTGGTTGGATAATGTACAAAAACAAAAGAATTGACGTGCTCGACTCACCGTGTGAAAAATCACAGGGTGCCGACCCAAAACTCACAAACTCAATAAATCCAAATGTCAACACTCACAAATATCATATATATCAGTCTTTTAATAATGCACAGCAGTATCACAAACGGACGCGTTTCAGCACTTGGCTTGGCTTTCCTCAGCACTTGGCTTTCCTCAGCGCTGAGGAAAGCCAAGTGCTGAAACGCGTCCGTTTGTGATACTGCTGTGCGTTATTAAAAGACTGATATATATGATATTTGTGAGTGCTGACATTTGGATTTATTGAGGTTGGATAATGTAACCATGGCATAATCCCAGGTTCAGAGTAGAGGCGTAGCCATACCTATTGATATTTCAGTGTTTTCAGGTCATGAAAGTCAACGGTTAAGTTTTGGTTGCTGAAAGCATTTGATTGTACTAAAAGATCTTCTAAAGAATTGGATATTTAGTTTTTTGGTAAGTACATTTTTAATGGCTTTAAACCCATTTTTTGCTAGTGAGAAATAGCGTAAGCATGATTGAAGTTAATGGTCGCTGTAAATGCGCCTCGCTAACAAAGCTGGAGTTGCCGGTATCTCCACGCTCTCATCCAAGTATGGCCGCTTCAGACTCCTAGAATCCAAGACTTGAAGCTTTCAAAATAGTTGGTGATGTCACGGTGGCTACATCCGTTATTTTATACAGTCTGCGCACCTGGCGCTAAAGTCAGTAACCTGGCTGTGTTCCATTGCAAATGAAATGATAATTGTATTTACCTTCTTCTAGATTAGGATCAAAAGTGTTGTGGAGTTGCAGCTCATGTAATTGACAGTTTTCTAATGTGTCCCCACTTCCCAGTTGGTCAACATCAATGATGGCTACATGTCTTTGATGAGCGACAACGGTGACATCAGGGAGGACCTGCGTGTCCCTGAGAGTGAAGTGGGCAAGGAAATCGAGGCAAAGTTCGAAGCCGGTGATGAATTCATGGTACGTATTATATCTCTGGGCTTCTTAATTATGGATGCAAATCTGTTCTCACCTGATGAACCATTGCACATTTATATTAAGGTGTTTTAGAGGGTCAGAAGATACTCAGTGGTGCGGTCCAATTCCTAGGCTGTAAGCATTTTGAATCATGTTTCATAGTCATGACGCCTGACGCCAACTTGTAAATGACGATATGGCAAATTCTTGACATTGTTTGCAGCATTAATAGCATCTTGAGATGAAGCAGAAATGTGTCTCCCATGTGTTCGTATCTTTGATATTGCTAATATTCACACTCCACTGAACGCAGACAGGATTCAGTCCTGAAGTAGAGCAGGAAGTTGTCATGTGGGGAAAATGTGAGGAGTGTGAGCTGCACGTGTAACGTTTCAGATGATTGACTTGAACATGTTGTGTGCGCTCTCCGCAGGTCACCGTGATTTCTGCCATGGGGGAGGAATGCGCTGTCGCTACCAAGGTCTTGGCCAACAAATAGGGAGACGGACTTTGCTGCCCAGGCAACAAGCACCACCCATAACCAGTCTCTTGCATTCTCATTGGTTCTGTCACCAAAGCGTCGGCCTTCACAGACAACCTCAATCATTCTGTTGTGATTCCCATCATTGATCTTTTTTTTTCTCCCCCTTTCGTTTCTCTTTTCCATTGCTGTTGGGTAGTTCCACTGCAGCTCGCTGCGTGGTCCTCTGCCTGATCACTGAGGTTTTGTTTGGCAAACAATCTACTTTATATAAAACAACTTCAAAAATAATGATCAGTTGCTCATTCCTGCTTATTTTTGCCTTCAAAGTGTTGGTTTTGCCACTCACATTCCTGAATGTTTAAATAACAACGGGATTCAGCTTTTGTATGATTATTTTTTTATATTCTTGAATATAGCAGGTCTAAAGCCTTTTAGAGGGAGTGGGAGGGGAGGGGGGGCAGTTTTTGAGTTATTAAAGCAGTGGGAGGGAGGGGTAGCCCCTGTAGATGCTAAATTCTGGTTTAGGCCGTCCCTCTAGCAGCCATACCGCTTTCCAGCATGGCCTTTGCTCTGGTTCCTGAGTGGATTGGGCTCGACAAGGTCCGTTTTTCCTCCTAACCGCTGGGATTGGTGGTGGCTAGCACTTATGAGCACTTGAGGTCCACCCCAGCATGTCAAAGCTCTAAAACCAAGAAAAGAGAAGCGTTCTTTTTTTTTTTTTTTTTTTTTTTCCTCCCCTCTAAGAACAACAGAAACAAACTTCAGTGATTTACCCTCGTGATGCCAGTCTCTTGTCTGTGTAGAAGTTTGAGGGGCGTGAGGGTCCTGTGCGCTCACACCTCTCGTCCACCGGGGCAGTCGAGGGCTCGCCCAGCTGCCCTGGCCATCCCCCAATACAAAAGGAGTGTTATATTTTGTTTTGAGAGGCATGAGTGTGTAGCGGTGTGGGCCTCCGAAATGTGGGAGGCGGTTTGCAGTGAGGCGTGTGTTTCTTTTGAGGGACTCGATCGGGTTGGGGAGGGTGGTAGAGTTGCAAACTTTTTGTTCACTCGAGGCCTTTGTCACCTGACTGGAGATGGCAAAAATAAAACGATGAAACAAATGGACAAAAACTGCAAACTATGTCTGGTTTTCTGTCTCTAATGTATCCAGTATTTTAAAGATTTAGCCAGGAGGTCAAAGTGATGGTGGGGCTTGTTTAGCGACAAGGGCAGTGAGGGCGAAGTTGGCCCCAAATTCCAGGTATTTGCCCCATAAAACACATTCAAGGGAGCAAAGAAAATGTGCTTGTGTATGCAAACACCATTGAGGGCACAAATTGTTCAATGATGAAAAAAAATTCTATGCTCAGTGATCATAAATGAAGCACGTAAATAATCGTAAAATAGTTTGAAAAATAGTACATTTTGTAGCTTTTACTGAAACCTGCTGAAATGTGTACTAAAGATGTGTCGATAAACTTAAGGTTGAAAACAAGTCAGATCTGCAAAAATAGAAGCACTTTTTACCATTAAATGCAGTACTTTCAAAATGCTGTTGCCTTTATTGCAAGCTCTACTAGTTCTCCATCATTAAAAGTACTGGCAAATACAAAAAGCTGAGGTCCTACTTTCAGATTTTTACTTAAGGGAAAGTGTCAGTGATACTTAAGCCAAGTATCAAGAGTTAAAGTTTATAATGTGAGGCGTAAAACGCATTAACCAAAGTACAAGGTAATGTTGACTGAAATGTTACTATACTGGGGTTTAAAGTCAACAGTGGCTCACATAGAGCATGTTTCATGTGTCAAATCATTCACTGAAAATTGACCAGAACACCTGGCAGAAAAACATCGATGCATAAGATGATAGGCCCTTGAACACAAAAAAACTGAGCTTCAGTATGTGATTTCAACTGCAGATGGTGGAAACATACCTCTTGGAACAGAAGCTGACACTCCTCATCAGACACACTCAAGATAGCACCCAAGACAAAACATAGGAAACCAAAGAAAGTCTATTGTAGGGTTGAGCCGAATACTTGGATAAAACAAATATCGGGTACAGATAATGTGCTTTTTACAAGTACGAGTATCGTGATTGAAGTGTGTCGTCATCTGTACATATGATAAATCCTAATTTGGGTAGCTGTGCTTAATCTTAAACTCTTGTGATTAAAAAATGATCTGAAACTCAACTCTGAGGCTGTTCTCATAGGTAATAAATCATGCAACATCTGATCAATCCATACAAATTTATACAACAGATAGTGGTGTACTTGCTTATTCCTAATCTGAAGTGCTAAAAACTCCTCAGCTGCCAAACATAGATTGCTAAAGGGGGAATTACACCCATCTTCAAAACTTATACGTTATTCCTCTGATCTAAGACAGTAAAAAAAATCTATTAGTAAAATTTAACAACTCTTAGAAATCCAAAATCTAGAGTGCTAAAACTCATGTGTGATGTCATAGGGTATAAAGTCTGGAGGTGCTCCATAGATGCTGAATGGTGAAAGATGTACTAGATGACACTGACAGCAGCCGGGGGAATGCTCTGGGTATATGGGTACATTTTCTGTTTCAGAGCTGAGACCACGACAATAGAATAAAGCTCATTCAGGTATTTAAAAAAAAGAGAAAGACAAAGTCAGGCTCCCATTCATTGTCTGTGGGGCACCTCCTCACTAGGGTTGCAGCCATGTAGTGATTTCATGGTATACCGTCGTATAAAAGATGACGGTTATCATGCCGTGCCCTTTTGTTTATCTGTGGTATGAAAAAAGGCAACCAGACAGAATCTCACCTGCGTGTGTGCATTTCCTTTCCTCATTGATTGTTTTTCTTTTATTGACGTACATTGTACAGCACACAGCAATGGAAAAGGTTATTCTCCAAAGGAACAACAGCAATTCTCACAATGTCTCAAAGACAAAACAGTAATAATAAGACAAAAGTAGAAAAAGGAAAACGTAACAAAAACGTTTGTCCCACCTAAAGGGCCATCACACCCCCAACCCCTTTGGGATCCCGACCATTGTCTCCTGACAAAATATTTGTTCCAAAAGGCTGTTAAGGCTCGCTGAGGCTGAGGTCCACATCTCTGTTGTTGATTCCTTTGCCTCATGCACATAGTCTAAGTACATGATATCTAGGTACGTCAGAACCCATGCCCAAAAAGAGAGGGAGTGGGGCGATTTGCGGTGAGGTTAGAGGTAACCATTTCCCAGAATCTGGCCACTGGGGAACATTCCCTAAACATATGGAAGTAAGTACCAAAAACATTTATGGAACACAGTACAGATAGGGTCCGCAGTTATTTTCATTGAACACAGCTTCCTCGGCATCGCATACATTCGATGTATAACTGCCTCAGACTTTTTCCACATACACCCAATAAAAAATGATTTCAAGTTACAGTTAAAATAAAGCATTTGGTCAACCAAAAAAACCCCTTCTAATTTCATTCCTTTAAGGGTCGGTGTGACTGATTACAATTATAGTAATTGCGTGATACTGTATACCATGAAACTGTGATATTTTCTGATATGGTTATCATACTGTAAAAATCTAATTTGTTGCAACCCTACTCCAGACATTATACCCTATGACAAAACAGGTTTGGGACTCACTTCTTCGGTTTTTAGCTTTGAGAGGGAGTAGCTCATGTTCACAAATATTGATTGAACTCTCCTAGGTCATGGAAATAACATTGGAATTTTTTATTTAGGTGATGTTCCCCTTTAAAGCGAGCCTTGCGATTCACAACCACTGAGAACATACAAAGACTGGGATAATTCAGATTTAATTATATGTAAGCATAATTGTGCTCAGAAGAGCACAAACAGGATTACAAATGTGGATCTTTTATTTATCTTTTGTATGCCCTTTATCATGACAACATACAAACAATGGTAGTCAAACTGCACGCAACAACGTGAACTAGTCCTGTGATCAGGTCAGCCAACAGAAATGGCTGCGCTTACTCATGAATGCACGCACGTGCTCTCTCTCTTTCCTGGTTTAGATCCTCAATTTTATCAGGTCATGTGACTGCCTGCAAGGGATTTTTTTTGTTCAGAAAGGTCAATTACAAAAACAATGACTCATACCGTTTTCACAAGAACATCATGTAACAGGCTACATGTTACTAAAGCAACAATAAATACAATATTTATTTTTGTTGTTTTAATAAGTAATGGTAAATATTTTTGTTCAAAATAAAAAAAAAGGTTTAGAATGAACATGATTATTGCCTCTCCATGGCCCCCACTGGTCGCTTGGCCTAGGAACACCCTCCATATAGGCAGCCCAGTTTGCAATTAGGAGTATACGAAAGGTAGTTAGAAAATGGCAACAAAAAGCTTAAGCCAATATAAATGGTTTGAACTTCTACTCTCTGCCACTGATTATACAAGCTTGACTCAAACTTGTATGAGGAAAACAAGCCAATACATCAACAATGCAGGGGTATGTGCTGAATGTTTGGAAACCTGGTCACTTTTCTTGTGCGCCTGAAGCATCTTTTGTTGTGTATCTGCAATTGAAGTCATGGCAGCAGAGAAAGACTCAGACACACCCTGCCTGAACGTCCCCAGTGGTGATGTAACGATGACTACTCACTTGTGCATGTCTGCACGCTGAGCCACAAATGGCACCACAATGGAAAGAAGGATGTATGTGAACCATCTGACCAGTTATGGTTTCTCTGACTCATCTGGAGGGATTTTCTTTTCTCTCTCTCTTTCTGTTCATACAAATGCAGCTGAATGAGCAGGGCTGGGTCTGAGGCCCAGGGGTGTGTGTGTGTGTGTGTGTGTGTGTGTGTGAGAGTGAGAGAGAGAGAGAGAGAGAGAGAGAGAGAGAGAGAGAGGTTGTGGTTGTGAATAATTGACCAGGCTCAGCAGGTTTATTATCAGGGCGTGTTTGGGCTGTAGTTGACCTTTGGACCTGCATCGTACCATTGAAACAACAGGCGAAACTTCAACTCTAAAATCCCCATTTTCAGACAAAACTATGTAGAATTTAAATGTAACTATCGCTATTGCAGATAAAATAAATCTAAAAGAGACATTTGACAGTTAGTTATGAGTTCGGCAGTGCCATCAGTCTCCTAACAACTCCTTAATCGAGGTATTTTGCCAAATACATGTGTGGAAAATGTTTCTTTCTGCAGGGATACTGGGGGTTACCATATTTGGTAAGGGCGTTCCACGCGGCACGAAGTACGTCCCTTCAACGTCATCTCCGGTTCTCTCTTTCCCGTCCGATCCCCTAACATGGCGCCGGTAAGTCGTGGCAGCTCCTCTGAAGTTTGGGCAATTTATTGTTAATTCACCCGCCCTCTCTCAATTATACCCGTCATTGTGTACTAAAATAAAACACAGCTCAAAGACTACAGCTTTTGTTCAACATTGAGGGGTTTTCTAGGAAAGGAGACCAAGAAGCTAGCAGAGTTAGCATTAGCTCGTCTGACACATGTTTCATTCATTAGTCCGTGACAGGATGCCAGTCTCTATAGAAAAAAACCCTGTTTTTTTTTCATATCAGTGGTCTTAATCCACTAGACTGGTAGACTTGATGTGTGCTGTCAGTCTGCATACTACAAAGCCCTCTAGTATTTTCGGCATAACTTTGATAGTAGTTATCCTTGTAATGGTTCAAAATAAAAAAGAAGTTAATCTCAGGAGATATCTATCCTGATGCATGTTAAATTCTCCTTCAACGATATGACAGAACCCTCTAAATCCCCCAAAAGAAAATAATTGTATCAGAGTTTGCCTTAAGAATTACAACAAAAGAATAGAAACAGTAATACATGTTAAGTGTAAAAGGTGCAAAGCTAACACAAGTGCCTCATAGAATAACAAAATGAGATAAGGTTAGTGAATTAAGTAAAATGAAATTATATGTAATTTTAAAAGGTGATATCTTGCATCATATTGAATAGTAGTAATATTGGCAGTTAGGTAAAAAAAAAGTAATATTGCATGTTATTGAAAAATTAATGATGCACATGATACTGAAAAAGTATACTGACCATGGAACTTGGAGTTTGTGGTCCTCATTGTCAGCACTGATTAAAAAAAAAAAGAATTAACGAATGGCTGAATTAACGAATGAAGTTGCCGCCTGTCACTGTTTATTTATTAAAGGTTTTGTATATTAGTGAAATAAAATTGACAAAGCACTGCTGCCTTTTTTTAAAGGTGCTAGTAAGTTTTTTGCATGTTGAATCAATTTCAAATAAATTGTTGCCAAAACCCTTGTATGGCTCAGTAAGTGATATAAGGCAATGATATGTAATTGTGATAAGTAACAGTGTCTGTTAAATGAGTAGCTATTCAACAAAAATGTGTTGAATTTCTAATTGTAATTTGTGACTAAACTGTCAAGTTTTACTAGCTCACATAGACATGAGCTTTTTATGAAGATAAACTAAACAACTAAAGAGCTACCAGAATACTGAATGAGTCAAGTTAAGAGAGATGATAGTGGTAAGACTAAAACAAATATTGATATGTTGTAAGATTGCAGATATCTTTACTTGAAAGATTTATTCTGTAATGAAGAACATGGTGCATTAACAGTGTGTTGGAGATAAGATACCTAATCATCACAGGTGTCTTTTATATGTTCACCACCAGTAGAAATAAGAAAGTAAGAACTCTTCTGTGCATTATTTATGGTAGAGGTGACCAATTAAAGTCAGTATCAGATGTGTGCTGCTGCTAACACATAGTTTCTGACACTATCCCTTCTTTGTTTTTGTAAACTTGCAGCTCAAACAGAAGAGACCAACTGTTGGCAAGAAGGCCAAAAAGGGAGCTTCATGGAAGTTCACCTTGGACCTGACCCACCCTGTGGAGGATGGGATCCTGGACTCTGCAAACTTTGTAAGTCTCACTACAAGTGTTACTGCATGTGTTAAACCCTGTGTGTGTAACGAGACTTTGGTTAGCAATCACAAAAATTGGTATACAAAAGAAAAAAAAAACAAGATTTCTCTTGCAGGTTATTTGACACATTTCCAAAATTAATCATAAAAGGGTTAATTTAGCTATCTTTGCAAGCAGCTAACCCCGTGTCTGGACTAGGGCCCTCTTCCCTAGCTCCAAATATACTAGGGTTCTCTTCCCTAGTGCGTCACTGTGTTCTGTCCAACAGGAAATCTTCCTCAAAGAGAGGATAAAGGTCAACGGAAAGACGGGGAATCTGGGTAACATCGTCCAGGTCGGCCGCATGAAGAACAAGATCAACGTCACGTCTGAGAAGCAGTTCTCCAAAAGGTGAGGAAAGATGTGCTACAGTTCACTTGACAGAACAAACACATATGTAAACCTCTGCAAATTGTTGTTATCACTATAGTCTAAACTCCAAATACTGTTACCTGCATCAAAAATGGAAATCGTTTTATATGTATCCACATTTTTTTTACCAAGAATTATACTTAAGTTATTTTAAACTCTGGGACTAAATGACCCAACTTCTCTTCCACCAGGTATCTGAAGTACCTAACGAAGAAGTACCTGAAGAAGAACAACCTCCGCGACTGGCTGAGAGTGGTGGCATCCGACAAGGAGACGTACGAGCTGCGTTACTTCCAGATCAGTCAGGACGACGAGGAGTCGGAGGCAGATGAATAAACAGCTGTCTGTGTGTCAGGAGAATAAATGTGGAAAAGAACATTTCTGTCTTATGTTTTTATTGTCTTGTTCTCAAAAACCATCTGTGCGCACCTAAGTGTTTGACAGGTGTGTAGAAAGTGTTGTTTACTGCTAGTATACAGTACAGGCCAAAAGTTTGGACACACCTTCTCATTCAATGCGTTTTCTTTATTTTCATGACTATTTACATTGTAGATTCTCACTGAAGGCATCAAAACTGAATGAACACGTGGAGTTATGTACTTAACAAAAAAAGGTGAAATAACTGAAAACATGTTTTATATTCTAGTTTCTTCAAAATAGCCACCCTTTGCTCTGATTACTGCTTTGCACACTCTTGGCGTTCTCTCCATGAGCTTCAAGAGGTAGTCACCTGAAATGGTTTCCACTTCACAGGTGTGCCTTATCAGGGTTAATTAGTGGAATTTCTTGCTTTATCAATGGGGTTGGGACCATCAGTTGTGTTGTGCAGAAGTCAGGTTAATACACAGCCGACAGCCCTATTGGACAACTGTTAAAATTCATATTATGGCAAGAACCAATCAGCTAACTAAAGAAAAACGAGTGGCCATCATTACTTTAAGAAATGAAGGTCAGTCAGTCCGGAAAATTGCAAAAACTTTAAATGTGTCCCCAAGTGGAGTCGCAAAAACCATCAAGCGCTACAACGAAACTGGCACACATGAGGACCGACCCAGGAAAGGAAGACCAAGAGTCACCTCTGCTTCTGAGGATAAGTTCATCCGAGTCACCAGCCTCAGAAATGGCAAGTTAACAGCAGCTCAGATCAGAGACCAGATGAATGCCACACAGAGTTCTAGCAGCAGACCCATCTCTAGAACAACTGTTAAGAGGAGACTGCGCCAATCAGGCCTTCATGGTCAAATAGCTGCTAGGAAACCACTGCTAAGGAGAGGCAACAAGCAGAAGAGATTTGTTTGGGCCAAGAAACACAAGGAATGGACATTAGACCAGTGGAAATCTGTGCTTTGGTCTGATGAGTCCAAATTTGAGATCTTTGGTTCCAACCGCCGTGTCTTTGTGAGACGCAGAAAAGGTGAACGGATGGATTCCACATGCCTGGTTCCCACTGTGAAGCATGGAGGAGGAGGTGTGATGGTGTGGGGGTGTTTTGCTGGTGACACTGTTGGGGATTTATTCAAAATTGAAGGCACACTGAACCAGCATGGCTACCACAGCATCCTGCAGCGACATGCCATCCCATCCGCTTTGCGTTTAGTTGGACGATCATTTATTTTTCAACAGGACAATGACCCCAAACACACCTCCAGGCTGTGTAAGGGCTATTTGACCAAGAAGGAGAGTGATGGAGTGCTGCGGCAGATGACCTGGCCTCCACAGTCACCGGACCTGAACCCAGTCGAGATGGTTTGGGGTGAGCTGGACCGCAGAGTGAAGGCAAAGGGGCCAACAAGTGCTAAACACCTCTGGGAACTCCTTCAAGACTGTTGGAAAACCATTTCAGGTGACTACCTCTTGAAGCTCATGGAGAGAATGCCAAGAGTGTGCAAAGCAGTAATCAGAGCAAAGGGTGGCTATTTTGAAGAAACTAGAATATAAAACATGTTTTCAGTTATTTCACCTTTTTTTGTTAAGTACATAACTCCACATGTGTTCATTCATAGTTTTGATGCCTTCAGTGAGAATCTACAATGTAAATAGTCATGAAAATAAAGAAAACGCATTGAATGAGAAGGTGTGTCCAAACTTTTGGCCTGTACTGTATGTGGGTATTTCTGTGTTGACATGTTTCTTCAGGTACACAGACAAGTGTGTCACAGTACTTCTATATAGTTCAAGATTAATTGGTTGTCAGTCTACATCACAGGGGTGAAATACAAAATAGAAGTTTGTGCAACACAGGAAAAAACAAAACTTTTATGGTGATGTATGGAGGATGAGTTGAGGAGTCTTATAGCTTGAGGTAAGATACTGGTTATACACTTGCCAGACAGCAGCAGGATTAGCAGGCTGTTGCTGAGGTGGGTATTGTCTTTTAGTATCCTTTGGGCTCTGCACTTCACTGATGCCTGGCACATTGGTACAAATGTAGTTCTGGGTGAAGTTAATCACTCGGTGCAGAGCCTTCCTGTCCTGGGCTATGCACAAACCATACTAATTTATAATGGTTCTAGTCAGGATGCTCTATTGTTTCTCTGTAAAAGCTGACAAGAACCTGGTAAAGGAATTTTGCCCTCTTAAGAAATGTTTAAGCCATCTCTGAGCTTTTTCTGCATAGTGGTGGTGTGTGATGTCTGGTTCTCTGTGATGCTGATTCATTTGCTCCACTGATTAGACAAACGTGTATCTAAGCCTCCCTTTTTTCTAAAGGCAGTAGTTTGTTCTCTGTGCACCAATCTGAAAGATTGATGCCTTCCCATATATGTGTAGTAGATACAGATAAACACATGTATAATATAAATACATAGATTTATATAGCCTGTGTATATACAGTATCTCACATAAATGAGTACACCCCTCCCATTTTTGGAAATACCTTATATCTTGTCATGGGACAACACTATAGAAATGACACTTTGATATAACTTAAAGTAGTCAGTGTACAGCTTGTATAGTAGTATAGATTTGCCTTCCTCTGAAAATTACTCAAAACACAGCCATCAACATCTAAACAGCTGGCAACATAAGTGAGTACACCCCACAGTGAACATGTCCAAATTGTGCCTAAAGTGACAATATTTTGTGTGCCAACCATTATTATCTAGCACTGCCATAACCCTTTTGGGCATGGAATTCACCAGAGCTCACAGGTTGCTTCAGGAATCCTCTCCCACTCCTCCATGATGACATCATGGAGCAGATGGATGTGAAGACACCTTGCGCTACCCCACCTTCAGCTTGAGGATGGCCCACAGGTGCACAGGTGAGTTTAGGGCTGGATACATACTTCGCCAGTCCATCACCTTTACCTTCAACTTCCTCAGCAAGGCAGTTGTCATCTACTAGGTGTGTTTTAGGTCATTATCATGTTGGAAAACTGCATTGCAGCTCAGTTTCTGAAGAGGGGCGATCATTCTCTGCTTGGAATTCATGTTTCCCTAAATGATCTGAGCTCCCCAGAGCCGGCAGCACTCATGCAGTCCCAAACCATGATGCTGCCACCACTATACTTGACTGTAGGCAAGGGACAGTTGTCTTGGTGCTCTTCACCAAGGTGCCACACATGCTGAAAGAGCACCAAGACAACTGTCCCTTGCCTACAGTCAAGTCACATCCACTCTAGGGAGCCCCTGCACACAAGAAGAGAACAAGAAGTTAAATCTTCCTCATGTTTATGGATTGCTATTTTTGTAATAATAAGAACTCTGGATGCACTACAGGAACATTCAGTCTCTCTTTGAATTATTAAATAAGTCACATTAAGACTTGCAGGAAATGTCTGTTAATGTTGTCATTAACTGTCACATACCTCTGTCTGCTTCCAAGCTTGTCCTGTGGGTCAGAAGTATTTCGCCATTGTCCTCGGGGTAACTGTGGGTACACTGCAGGAACACTGAATCTGGGTCTTCCTCCTTTGCTTCCTGTGTGGACGTTAGAGTGGTTCACATAATCCTGCAGACTGAGAGACAGACAGATAATCTTTGATTTAGTGAATGAGTGATCATATCAGGAAAAATGGATGCATATGTGGGTAGTTAACACAATAACATACACAGTAAACAGCAGCAGCTTAGGTGATGGAGTAAGAGAGAACATACATAATGTTTAGTAAAACAAAATATTATTATTAAATAATATATGGATTAACAGGCTCATACATCAGCATTAATTACTATTTATGTTTTTGTATTATATCCTATTCTAAATCACAATCATGAGTCAGAATCTCATACTTAATTTTTTCATCTGTGGTGAACAGCAGCAGCTGAGGGAAAGAGGGAACATGAATAATGGTTAGTAAGACAGACAAATATGAAGAAACAGGCATGGTATAGAGTTTGTAGCTAGTTTAAACAGTACTGTACATTACTTTCTATTTGTATATTATACTATATCCCAGCCTAAGTCACTTTTTTAGTGAGTCAGAGGCTCATACTTACTTTTTTTGTCCATGGCAGCAGCTCAGGTGATGGAGTGAGATAAACCTTTAGTGTGACAAAAAAAATGTTAGTGAGACAAATACTCTTTTGCAGCTTTTTTCTATCTTCTTCTGCCAGTGCCATTGTCTTCAGTGTTCATCTGAACACAGACCAAGGTGAAGGTTCTTTGCCCTGCCAGACGCAAAGTAACTTCATCTTCCTCAGCCCTGCCCGACATGCAAAGAATGAGGAGATACTCCATAAAAGTCCCAGTGCAAGACGCTACCTGGGGTCTTAACTGCCTTGCCAGACACAAGGGCTACCTGTGGCATCTCCAACCTTGCCAGATGCAAAGGTCGACCCCCAGGATGCAGAAAACTTTGATCGATTCACTGTGCAAAAATGAGGAGATACCTCCAAAAGTCCCAGTGCAAGACTCTCCCTGGGGTCCTTAAAAAGCCCCACTAGATGCAAAAGCTACCAGGGGCTTTGCTTGCCCAGTCAGACGCAAAGGCCAGCCTTCAGGGTTGAAAGGGATCAATCCAGTGGTCCCAGTGCAAGACGCTACCTTGGATGTCACCAGCCCTGCCTGACGCAAAGGCTGCCATGGGAGTCACTGGTCCTGCTGCAATGTGGAAGTGATAAAGGGCAGATGTGTGATTGCTCTGATGTTTCAAGCAATCTACCCTGTGATCAGTGGCGAAACATCTTCCAGCATCAGGGTAAGCAACAGCTGCTCCTCATGCTGCAGGGGCAGTAGGAGAGAAGCAGCTTGAGGAGCAGCTGTAGAAGCAGCTGGAGGAGCAGTGTAACAAGCAGCTTGAAGAGCAGCATAATGAGCAGCTTGAGGATCAGCGTAAGGATCAGCAAAAGGATTCGGATCAGCAGGAAGAAAAGCAGGGGGGGAAAGCAGGAAGGAATGTATGTATGTAATGTAATGTAAAAATGTTCAAGTGTTCA